TCCGTCGGGATTTGTAACCGTTAGATCAACTATCTCGACGGTTACATGATGATCTAACGGTTACAAACCCTGACGGAATGGTTCCGTAACGGGACTGTAGAATTTCCCTATATTATATTTATATATACAGTTTCTGTAATGCACTTGTCTCTCTTACTATGTTGAAAAGCATTTTGCTATTATTAAAATAATAAATGAACTTTTATAATACTTGTTTTGTTCTTGCACCTCACCGAGCTATAACTGTAGCTGCGTATATATTCCGTCGGGTTTTTTATCCATTAAATCAACTATTTATGACGGTTACATGATGATCTAACGGTTATAAATCTCGACGAAATGATTACCTAAACGAGACCTTAACATTTCTCTATAATATATTAATTATACATGTTAAGATTTTTAAACCTATGAAAGACTGCCGGAGTATGGGATCACGAAAATATTTATGTTAGGATGTGTGCATGAATATCACTTAACCATGCTTAATATTAGATAAAATTATCTATAAAAATTGGTTTTGACCTCTTTTTGACTTATTATATGATGGATAAAAATTTACTTTGGGTTTGATTTAAATTGTGGAGAAAAAATTTGTGTTTCGAGTAGATACTCGTGTTATATATTTATTTGAGTAAATGATATCTGAAAGTTTCATAAATATAAAAAATTATATTGATTTTTTTTTTTTTTTGGTTCAAGTTATTTATTCTAATAAAATCAACATGATAAGTTTTCAGCTATAATAAATTTCTTTATTTCATCTCCAAAAAATAACCTAACGGTCATAAATTGGGTGCATACAATGCATACACATACCCAATTATAAGTAATATTGTCAAAATTATCTACCAAAAAAATAAAATAAAAAAAATTATTACTTGTCAAATTTTTCTACCAAAAAAAATGGGAACGACCCACCACGTAGGGCTGTAAACGAGCCGAGCCGAGCTCGAGCCTTATCCGAGCTCGATCCTTAACGAGCCGATCTCGAGCTTTAACGAGCCGAACTATAAAAAATTACATAAATTTCACTTTTCGAGCCTTAACGAGCCTTATCGAGCCGAGCTTACCAAACGAGCTTTAAATGAGCTCGAACTCAGCTCGTTAAGGCTTCGAACTCGAACCGAACCGAGCCTTAACGAGCCGAGCTCGAGCCGAGCGGAGCCAGACTTGTTTAATTTAACAGCACTGCCACCACGTGACCTTCACCCCACAATAGTCCTCCCAAAATTGACTGCTTTTTATCTTTTTGAGAAAATTGCAAATTTGGTCCCAAAACTTTTTTTGTTTCCCACATTTGGTCCCAAGCACCACATTTATGGTCCTTTTTGATTTTTTGTTGCCAAATCGGTCCCGTTCCGTCAAGACTTAACAGTCTTATTAATTTAGACATTAGTCTTTTTTTAATTTAGAGTTGCAAATTTGGTCCCAAAACTTTTGCAGTTTCTCACATTTGGTCCCAAGTAGTTCGAGAAGAAAAATCGACGGTCCAAAATTAATAATCATGCGAAATGAAACTCTCGTCTTCCTCCGGTTATCCACAAAATTAAACTCAAATTCGAATATACGGTCCCCACAAGATGAATCCATACGAAACAAAATCCCGTCCCGAGTCATTCTACGCGATTTACTCGATTCAAACTCCATTTATTTCAAATACACGTGCAAAAAGCTATAGATGGTCTACTCAACATATAATAAGCAAATAAAAACGAAACCACACAGTCAACTCCCCATTTTTTTTTCTTTTACTTTTTTTTTCTTTTTTTATATACGAGTATTTTTTTCTAAATGAGAGTCGTTAGGACGATTATTACCTAGGTTTATCCTCGGAGTTTGTCCCCGAATCCCCTAGGCCGGTTTCCCGTACTCATTGCCCCCGATTTATCATGAAAGAGACTAACCGGGTCAAGCGGAGTCTAATCCTTTCAACTCTCATGAGCTCATTTTTATTAATTTTTTTTCGTGAGCTTCTTTTTTCCAAACGAGGTTTTCGGACGATGATTATCTAGGTTTAACCTCGAGGGGTTTCCTCGAGTTTCCTAGACCGATTTCTCGGGCTCATTATCTCATTCCAAGAAGTGAATCAAAATAAGAGGAGCCTAATCCGTATTTTATCGCGAACTCACATTTTTTTATTATTTTTTCGAAGGGAGCTGCACACAAGGATACATCCCAATACAACACATTAACATCAACAATCTGTAAAGATATACCACAAGTGTATAGCATAACACGATTACAACGATCGAACACAAGGCAAAAATACTTTAATATCACCAATCGATAACAAACAAGGGTCAAAACAATTCTGTGAATTTAAATACGGATTCCAATGCCAACAAATCATCATTTAATTTTAAGGAAACCGTCCAGTTTATCAAGTACATAAAGTATGCAAATTAACAATGATACCGAATGATAATCTTAACTCACCACTTAGTCATCTTGGCTTTAAACAAACATCAAGCTTCATGTGGAGAAATCGACATAAACACAAAAACAACAACAAAAACTGGTCACGACACGACAAATACGAAAAATAAAGCACCTAAAATGAAAAGAATACCGCCTAAGCATGCATGATAAAAATTGAAAAACAATAAATGAAAATAAGAAAGAAAACAAACATGAACACAAACAAAGAAACAAGAGAAAATTAACATAAGGAAAAGAAAGCGCATACACTACACGGTGGTGTACCCCCGTGTGTCCAATGGTGTTATTTCGGTGGGAATAGAGAAAATAATTCGAAAATCCTCGAATGCAAAATAAAGTCATCTGAACGATTGTACAATGAAAGCATATATATCGATCCATAAGCCAATAGGACAGTATGACATTTGAAAGCATAAGAGAGGTCAAGAATCCCACCACCCGTCCTCGGTTAAGGGCCACATGTATGCGTCGGATAAATGATAACGGTTAATTTACAAACTCGACGAAGACACAAGTATGCTTGAAAGATCGAAAATGAGGCCTGAAGTAGCCAATAATATTTCCCTGGGACCAAATTTGGGAAACAACAAAAGTTTTGGGACCAAATTTATAATTTTCTCTAAATTAAAAAAAAACGACTAACGTCTACACTAATAAGACCGTTAAGTCTTGACGGAGCGGGACCGATTTGGCAACGAAAAATTAAAAAGGACCATAAATATGGTGTCTAGGACCAAATGTGGGAAACATAAAAAGTTTTGAGACCAAATTTGCAATTTTCTCTTATCTTTTTCCATCTTACATTTTCTTTTACCTGAGACGATAAAATACTCACTAACACGACTACAATACTCAATAATTTCAAAAAACGAACGATACCATTTCACTTTTTTTTTTTTTTTTTATGATTTGAATTTTTTCATTAAATAAAATTTCTCCAGGAAAATAAAGAGAAGCTGCAAATGATGCAACACCATATCTCCCCTTTATTTCTCACTTTTTATTTACAAATCTACTAACTAACAATTATAAATATTTTAGATATTACGCTTTGAAAAATAAAATAAATAAAAACATGACTTCGTTTTACATAATTTTATATTTTTGGTAAAAGAATATAACAAGTTGATCTATCGTTCGCCGACTCGTACAATAATTTATAGTTTATTTACATTTTTCATCTCTATTTTGCTACTTTAAGTTTCGTGTGTGGATTGAGAGGTTCGGGTGAGAGAATAATTGAATGATGTATAGTGAATTAAAATTGTTGTGATGAGAATGATTGATTATTATTATTATTTAATATTATACTAATAATGAAATAAAATTGATTAGGTTTTAAATATAGATTAATTATGATTGAATTTATTTATAAATAAACACACATTAGTTATCTTTCCAAGAGGTCTTATTTTCGGTTTTGCTATGAAGTCAACAGTTGGTTTAATAGTGGAGTCAACCTTCTATATACACCAAATAAACCTGCAATATTAATAAAATTATACTAGTACAACACCCGTGTATTACACGGTTGCTTGTTAAAAAATTATTCTTAAATTTTAAAATTAATGAGAAAACTAAATTAAATTTAGTTACAAAAAAATTATATTACAATATATTTTAGAATGATATGTGTTACTTATGACTTACATGTGTTATATTATATTAGTTGTTATAACTTATATCATATAACTACTTGAAATATAAATATATTAGTTGATAAATAATTTTGATTTTCTAATTAATATTAAAAATAATTTTATTATTGTTATAAAGATAAATATAATTTTTTTTTTATACATACAATATGGATGTTAAATCGAAGCTCATCAAAAGAAGATTAATTTGATATATTACATATGTAAAATTGATAAAAAAATACAAAAGTTATTAACTTTTAAAATATATATACAATTAAATAGTTATAATAAGGAATGATATTAAAATACAATTAATACATGTAACATGACCATAAATAATAAACATATTTATGGTAATTCGAACCTAATTATTTTTTGTTTGGAATTAAATTAAAATTTATCCAAGCCTAATAACGAAGCATGTAATTTTGCCACATAGGATTCCGAAGCACCAGAAACAGCCACATAGGCTCAGCGCGTTCTGTATTAATATATAGGGGGATTAGTTGGTTCTATTTTCTTGTTGTATATAGAAGGTTGACTCCACTACGGAGCCAACTATTCGCTTCATAGCAAAACCGATGTTATTTTATAATTTAAAAATAAATAAAGATTCAATTTTTGCTTTCTGTAAGCTTCACTTTTAGCCTAATTTCCCCTCATTTTTCTCCTGCCTCTGAGAGCTCACACTGCAAACCATGTCGGCTTACTCTGCGGAGGCACACAGTACGAACACATGCAAAATCAAGCTCCCAATTGGAACCCCTTCTCTCCCGCTATTACGCCTTCTGTCTCTCTTTATCTTCTTCGCCTGCTCCGTCTTCTTGGTTCCCACCGTTACTGGTTGCTCCAATGGCGGGTGTCAGGTTTCTTTTCTAATACCCTTTTGTTCTCTACGTGGGTCGCTACAATTTACTGAATTTTAGGTGTTTTCTTCTTCTGTTTTGTCGTTACGTTTTGCTGTTTATGCTTTTTTGAGCTGAAATTCTAAAAGGGTTTTCGCAGATTCTAGAATCGTGTTCAGCTGCTACAGACTGTGGGCTTGGGCTCTACTGTGGAAATTGCCCTTCGCTTGGGAAAACTCAACCTTTCTGCGTCAGGGGCCAGGCCACAATACCAACTGCCATTGTATTACACACTTTAATTTTGATTTACTATGCCGATTTTAATGTTAAGTACTGTATGCTCATTTTTCTTGTTTTACTGGACGATGGTGGTTTGTGCGTGATTGTGTGTGTGCCGGTGGTAATGTAGATTAGTGGGCTTCCCTTTAACAAGTACTCATGGTTGGTGACTCATAATGCGTTCTCGATTGTGGATGCACCTTCCTTGACCGGTGCTCAGAGAATCACTTTCTACAATCAAGAAGACACTGTTACTAATCAGTTGAGGGTATGCCGTTTTTTCTTATTGCTTCACACTTTATCGGCACCTACCTATATATGTTTAACTTGCTTGTTTATAGTTTAAGTGTTTAATCTTGCGTTTTTTGGTGTAGAATGGAGTTAGGGGGTTGATGCTGGATATGTATGATTTTGAGAACGATATCTGGCTCTGCCATTCGTTTCGAGGCCAATGCTACAACTTCACAGCCTTTGTAATCTTACAGCTTGATCTTATTAACTTTACCACTGTTTTTTGGTAGGATAGTTTAACAATTTGTAATTTATGGTGAAAATGTGGTTATAGGGACCTGCACTTAATACATTGAGAGAAGTGGAAGCATTTTTGTCCCAGAACCCATGGGACATTGTTACTATAATAATCGAGGATTATGTGCACTCGCCGAAAGGGCTTACAAGGGTTTTTTCTGATGCTGGTTTGGACAAGTATTGGTACCCGGTATCGAAGATGCCAAAGAAGGGTGAGGATTGGCCCACGGTTAACAGCATGGTGCAAAACAATCATCGCCTACTGGTTTTCACATCAGATTCTTCAAAAGAGGCGAGTGAAGGAATCGCGTACCAGTGGAGGTACATGGTGGAAAATGAGCGTAAGTATACTAAAGAAAGTCTTTCTGATATCTACTAGAAGGAAATTAACCGAAGAAATGAAAAAAAAAAAAAAACAAAAAAAAACAAAACAAGCCTTTTGATGTTTACAAATGCTCCCTGGAATAAATAACTGGTGGAATAGGGATTTTGTTTTTATGTGGTTTGTAAAATAGAATGGACAAAATAAGAATAAATAAGCTCAATTGATGATCTGTTTCAGCGGGAGACCCTGGGGTAGAACCTAAGTCATGTCCAAACAGAAAGGAGTCAAAGCAGCTCAATTCAAGAAGTGCTTCTCTATTTCTGATGAACTATTTCCCAACAATACCAGTTCAGAATGAGGCCTGCAAAGAGCATTCGGCGCCACTTGCTGATATGGTCGCAACATGTTATAAATCTGCCGGAAATTCAATGCCCAATTTCTTGGCTGTGAATTTTTACATGGTATGATTTGGCTTTATAATACTTACTACAGATTATGTTATCTTTTTTTTTTTTTTTGGTGAAATTTTGATGTCTTGCAGAGGAGTGATGGAGGGGGTGTATTTGAGACTTTGGATCGAATGAATGGACAGACATTATGTGGGTGTAGTACTGTCGCTGCTTGCCAGGTTTGCGCACGTTGATTGTTTAATGAAAAAGGTTTTGCTGATAAGTTTATAAATTATAAATGAGTGTTAAGAACTGGCTTTTGATGAATGGTTTGCCTAATCTGTATTAGGCTAGTTCTGCTAAGAGCTATTTCCATTTTGTTTGTGTTAAACTTCTTCAAATGAGTATGAAGAACTGTGACCTCAATAACTTGCATTAGGATTTTCTTGGGTGCTCATTTAATTAAGTGTAAAATGGTGGCACTTTTAGTTTGGTGATGATTTGAGGCATAACAAAGGTTTGAAATTCGGATGGCGCTTTTCCGGCATAGTCTAGCTTGGTACTGTATTTTAAGTTAGTATATGCTTTTGGCCAACTTGCGGATGGAAATACTGAGACCCTTGTTGTAAATCAATAATAAATCAAAACAATATGACGTGCTTTGAGCTTGGTATTCGCTGACTAGAGTCTGGTCTGGTTTTCCATACTCTTCAACTTGTTTCGAAGTGCACTTTTCAAATTGATTTAGACTTAAAAGTTACTTTAAGATTTTAGGGTGTTGTAGTGGTTTATATGGAGTTTATGAAGAAGTTAGAGGAGACTTCTGAAATCCCATTTTTTTTATTTTTTTTTTTCATTTTTTATGTGAACTTTCTATGTAGATCCAGTCTTAGTGGGATATTGTTTTATGGACTTCAACTACTTTAATGAGTTATAGTCCTTTCAAAAATATTTGAAAATTTATTTATTTGTTCCATAAAAAAAATTATTAACAACTCCTAAAAAGATGTGTATCTTGATAAACTATCTTTAGATAGTAAACGAACCATCTAAAAATATACATGCTGCAAAAGACACTTTGTATATAACTAAATGCATCTAAAGCTTAATAGTGTGCCAAACATAATTTTATTTAAAGAACGAAGTGCACATCTAAAGCACTTTTCTATAATGGGTTTCATCAAACATGAGTTGGAAACTGTCAAAGGACTTCATAGGAAACAACCAAATAAGAAGTCCCACTTCATAATGGACTTGCAAAAATGCTCTTCATCATTCACAATTTATATTCAAGTCTAAAGCACATCTTAGTTGAAGAAAGGACCCTTGTATAGTTGTATACATAATTAGGTTTCAGTTGTGAATTCATCTTCTGCTCTTATTGCTGAATCGTAAGATAGATAAACAAGTGAATAGGGGAAGTACGTGATCATGTCTACAAATTTCATAGGACTCGCTCGAGTACTAGCCTAATACAGAAACCCCAACTTAATTTTTCGAACTACACTCATAAACCTCAAAAGGGTGATTAGGAGTATTTCTGTTTTGTAAAATCAACATCTCGTTGACATTTATTCTAATGCCAACCTGAAGAATTTTTTTCTTCTAATGGAATATATTTAACTTATGATCAATGAACTTTTGGCAGGCTGGAGCTCGTTTCGGAAGTTGCAAAGATATTGCTTCATCTAACACTACTCCACCGAGCACCACCACAGCCGGAAGCTTTTCAGGGTCCGTTCAACTAACAGGAGATGCTTCACCAATGGATAGTCCTCGTTTATTATTAGTTACATGCCTATTGCCACTTTTCCTCATGTTCTTATTCTTGTTGTAATGAGAATTGATAATATGGAGACATCAAGTCCGGTCGACAATGAGTTGAACCTGGGATCTCATTCTAAAAATATTGTAGTCTTTATAAAAGTTTTTGATATAGAATAGGTTATTTGGATTTGATTTAGTCTTAAAGCAGACACGAGAGAAGTTTATGGACCACTTCTGAATAGAGCAGAATGAGAAGAAAGAGTTTGAACAATGGTTTGTTGTACTTGATCCAGGTATGTCTTAATTGTATTTTTTACCTTCCCATATAGGAAAGCTTTATTGTACTTGATCTTCATGTTCGAGTTTCTGAGCATAATATTTCTTTTTCTTTGTATATATTTGGTTTTCCAGGTTTTAATGTTGTAAGAGATTTTTTGGAAGAACTACCGACAGGTAATTTTTTAAGGCATAAAAGTATGTTATGTTCCTTGTATTTCTGAAGCTATATTTCCACGTGTATACATCGATGTATTTGTGGCATTTGCTTAAGGTTTAGTTGTTCTCTCTTTCGAATTAATTTAACTGATTGCTCCGTGTGAATCAAAATGTTTGATGTTGAAGGCATTATTGACTATTAATAGAATATAGACTAAGTATTTGGCTTGTATTAAGCATTTGGTTTGTAAAACACGTTTTGTGAGAAACGTTTTTAGTTATATTTGCTATAGTATAAATAGACTTATTAGGGTTAGGTTTACATTATCTTTTTCATTCTTTTGTTTTTTCTGATCTGAGAATACTCTCTCTCTGTAATCGTCGTCTCTCATTTTCTCTAGCTCATCTCGAGCATCAATAAAGCTTTCTTATATTTTTGTTCAATATCTAGTTTAATATGGTATCAGAGCGGGCCTGTCCTAGGACCTGCAATGACTATCTCTACCCGGCCTTCTATGGGCTTGGGCTTATCTCTCTACCCGGCCTGCTATGTGGGCTTGGGCTTACGAAGGACTCACAAGTGAGGGGGCGTGTTAGAATATTACTTGTGAGTGTCCCACATTGATTCTATAGGGAAAATGAGTCTAGTATATAAGCTTAGTGGGCTACTCCTCCTATCACCAATTGGTTTTGGGATGGAACCTCACTAAGGTGCATCTAGGCTCACCCTCTTATGGTGCGCCTTCATCTGGTGGGACCGCACTCTCTTCCCTCAGTTCTAATATGGTATCAGTTTCCACAATTACGATCTGATTATACTTCCGCTGCCTTCCTTGTTCGATTTTCTCTCGATCAACCCTATTTTTCCGTATTTTTTTTTGTTTTTTTGATCGATTTCGTTGTAATCGACCTTTATCGACTTCGATCTGTTCGCGTTTCTACAGATCTGACCCGATTTGGCCTGTTTACCTTAAATCTGTTGTTTGATTGCTTGGTTTGCTCATACACGATGACAACCGCGACTATTGGCCTCACCGACGATCCCGCCTCGCCGTTCTACCTTCATGCGAGCGACAACCCCGGGGCAATCATCGTTGTCGAGGCTTTCACCGGCGACAACTACGTATCCTGGTCCAGATCTGTCACCATGGCGCTTAGTGTCAAAAACAAAGTCGGTTTCATCGATGGTACAATTTCTGTTCCTACTACTCCTTGTGATCCTGCTCTATCTCTGGCCTGGTTACGCGCGAACAACCTGGTATTGTCTTGGATTCTTAACTCTGTTTCAAAGGAGATTCGTCAGTCACTTCTATTTTTTAACTCTGCTAAGGATGTTTGGGATGACATTAAATCTAGA